AACCACTTCTGAAGATGCAAGCCACTCGTGCTTGCGAAACGTCAGGAAGAAATTCCATTTTACAACGGCCTAAAAACCCGAAAAACTCATTAGTTTCAAGGAATGGCCTCGAAAGTCTATCTCTTTTGCTGCAACTTTGAAAGTTTCTCCGCAAATAACTCAGGATGACTTCATGAAGAAGCGGGTACGAATAAATTATCTGGTTAATTAACTGGCAAAGTTTCCTCAGCAATGTTCTTTGTGGTCCGAAAATATCACATTCGACGGGAAAGTTCCTGCCATGCAACCTTCGAGATGGTATTATTAGAGCCGATTTTTCGGAATCTCTTATTACCGAGAGATTTTCTTAGGAACTTGTCGCCTGGGAAAAACTCACGATTTCCCGTTAAATAAACATGACTGAACATTAAAGAAAATCAAGCACCAAGGACTTCTGAGTAGAGGCTTAATTTAGAACGGAATCAAATAAACAACTGAAAATCCGGCGTTTAACAAACCGCTTGGTCTTTGCATGCTGATATGCGGAAGATTTGCTTCTTGGTTCGGATCGGATCGATCAATTTTCGAAATTCCATATACCGAAATAGATCCAGATCGTACAACGAGTAATGTAAATATTTTCGTTGGTTTAGAAACTGAAGTGGGCCAATAACTACTCGGATGTTCGATTGGCGATTTTTTCCTTGTTTTCGACCCATGTGAACAACCAAAGAACCGATCTTAGATATGCAGAAGAGGAGAATTCTGCTCTATGATTATAGGAAATAAGCTCGATTAATTGCGCAAAGTTCGGTTCGAATTCAATCTCAAACTAGAATTCAACAAAATCGCTTTACTATGTGCCACTTTGATAGTTTTACTAATATTTGATAATCCTCGTGCCAAAAGCAACTATCATCCGACGCATTCCATTCACGAAATTATTTCTGTCCGGATGAACCAATGAGATGAATATTTTTAGTCGTTTTCAGTTTGTTGACTTATCATTGAGTAATTTGGACAAAAATATTAATTCAATGGGGAATTCTCCAAAAAGCTGCCCGAATACAAGCGATGACTTTCCTCTATTAATAACCGCCGGATCATTTGGACAGATGCACGAAAAACCGCGTTTTTTTCAAGCATCGCTTCAGTTCAAATCGGTGATAGTTTTGGACAATGTGGATGGCCCTGGACTCGAATATCACTAACCCCTTTCCAGAAAAATGACGGATTTAGCACTCATTCTAAAAAACACTTGGCCCGTTGACAAAGAGGCGTGGCGCCTACTTCCCCGCTCTAGCTGTTGGCCAGTTTTCTGTTACTTTACCTGCAGGCACTTACAAACTCACTTTAGCTGCAGTGAAACTGTTTAAAGTGCGCGATAACTTCAAGTGATCAAGAGCCGCAAACTGGAGTTAGTTAAAGTAGTTGGGACTAAGAGAGTCCACCATCCAAACGGGAAAAAGACCTTATGGAGGGCATGGCTGCCCAGATCCAGGTGGGTCAATAAACAAATGCCTAGCTAGTTTCCTTCGAACAGCCAATACCTGCTTATTACGCTGGATAACGTAAAAAAGAACTGCAGCACTTCCGATAAATAATCGATTGATTCGATGCCAACTAATTAATTAATGGGGCATTGGGGYCAAGGTCTGCAAAACCCTTATCCAGAGCGCTCCTAATTGCATGCTTCATTATGGAAGCAATAGATTAAAYGAACTTGTCAGATTTATGGATTATTATAAGATTTAGGTYTGGCGGATGTTTTTTGATGCGGGGTTTTTAGGCCTTCATTCATTCATTGAGATTTTTGTGTAATTTGTATCATTTRTTCTCGTAAGTCGTCAATTCGCAATTAAAAACTTTCCGGCCGAATTGGCCTATAGGCCCGRTGACAGCGCTCGCCTATGCCTGCACGTGGCGATTAAGGCCTACTACACCGCAAATCGTCGGTTATATCCAATAAGTTATTTTTTGAAATGTAATAAAAATGCTGCTCCGAGCAAACCATTTATGGACGATGATGAAGATGCGACCGGTTCGTGCTTGAGAAACGCCAGGGAAAAAAATTCCACGGCGGCATAAAATCATGAAAAAATCACCAGCTTTATTGTCACGTAGACGATTAAGGCGAAACTTTCGATTTTAGGAACGCAATTTTTTGAAAATGCGTTTTCAATTAGAACAAACAAATTAAGAGGCATTAAAGAAACGTAAATTATTCCTGTGTGTTCTGGTTACTTACTAAAGACCTTAAATCGGGAAAACATTAACGTCGTCTAGTTTTTAACTTGCAAAATCTAATCAGTTTAGTTTCAGCGTGAGAATGGATTTCTAATAATCCCACTAAGCTAAATCATTTCACAATGAATAGGGAATATTTCGTCATTTTATGAGCTGAAGCCAATCGTCTAATTCTCCTGCTAAGCCAAACCATTTGATATTAAACAGGCCAGATTTCGCCATTTTATTAAAAAACATTTTTGGAGTAAATTTTTACAGTTTTCCTGTCGTGCAATTGTTTATGTAGACCTGCATAATTAATAATAATTTAAAGCTGGGCCATTTTCTTCAAAATTGATGCTATTTCGGGTTCAACTTTCAAATGTATTTTCATGCATTTGAATCGTGCTCACTTAAATTTAGAAAACACGTTTTAAGCTCATTGCCCCTTGGGGGATTGGATGAGATTTGGTTTAGTCGAAATAAAAGTTGTGTAAGCGATCGGTGCCCCTTTTGCCCAAGTCGGAAATACAATTGGAAAAACACCTGGCGCCTTAAAAATGGGAACTTTCCCAGTATAAGTATTGTTTTGCATAAACCACCCGGTATATTAGTGTTAAAAAAAACCTAGAAAATGAACATGTGCATAAATTTGCAAACTAAAGCCCCAAATGATTGGTTCATTCAACTGGGTACCGTATTTTCTTGGTTTTTGCTCGCTTCGTTAAACATAACGCTATTATAACGACAATGACCTACAAGGTGTAACATGCTGGTAATTACCGAACGAAACTTGCGCGTTTAATCGTGGGATTTTTTCGCAAATTCCCGGCCCAATGGAGATAAAAAACCCAAAAAGTTGTGTTTTCATCTAAAGTGCTGAAAAATATTTATTGTACTTATTTGCCAGGAGTTAAAGCATGATTTAATTGATATTTATCAGGCTCACAACACACTAAGGCCGGTTTATTGTTCTAAATCTCCCGCATTAAACAACATCAAACCGTTAAATATTTTACGACTGATTCGAACCGATTGTTTTGTTTTCAATTAAGTCATTGAGACGTTATTTATACTTTACACGTTGTTTTTCGTTCCATTTGCAAAGCAAACAATTGGAGAGAAATCTCAAAAACGCACTTTTGCTGATAATTATTTAAGTGACTTTATAGCAAAGCCGATTCTCAGTTGCGCAAAAAAATCCCCTTTATTGGGCCTTTGCAGTATTTGCGCTGAAATTGTTGTTAATTCCGCAGCTAAGTCAAGAGCATGCGAATACTCAATTAAAAGGACACTCATAACATCCTGGCCTAAAACCAGATGAAACTAATCTGAAACCGGAGGTCAGAAGTGCACCATTTTCGCAGTTGCCGTTGAACCAAGTGACGGTGTTCGCAAATGTGGTCGGTTTTTATGGAGAAACGTCCAATTTAGGGTGAAAAACCGGCAGGTGAACAGGAAATCGGTTGCTGTATGGCCCCAAACCCGTTTACAATGTCTTCGTTTGATTTGCAATGGTATAAATCGTTAGGAAAGCATAAGTGCTGCGTTCCCAATTTTTTGAGCCCCGCCCATTGATTTTGATGTGTGTTTAAAAACTGATAAAATTGTTTCTTCCAGGTCATCGGGAAACTTTGGAAGCGCGGGCCCCCGATCGGCACCTGCCACGCCTCAGGGGCAGCTCGGTGCCCCTCAAGGGGGGCAACCCGAGGCCCTGGTCAGTCCGTCAATCCAACGCAGTCCGAGCCATTCGGTTTTCTCCAAAACTGACAAGTAAGTTGAACAACAAATTAAACGCTATCTAAATTGTGTACATCTGGCGATTTGAATGAGCGATTAAATGCTAGAAATTGGCACCTGCGAATATCGGTTTGAAGTACCCCAATTTAGTCATGGATGGTTCAGATAATTAAATCGGTTTTATTGGAAAAAACGTGGGAAGGACAAAGTTCTTTAGCGATAAGCTTCACATCAGCTTTTTGCAAGCTGGCGCCCCATCCTCCAGTTTCTGCCCATTCATCCTCAACAAGTTCACGCTTTCACAATCACACTTGCCTTGAGGGCTACAATTCTATATGTCCCATCGAAGAAGGCGATTCATACGACACTGTCGGTAGGAAAGCGAATATTCATACACCTTCTAATTCTATCTTCTCAGTCTAATTATCTATTATCGATAGTTATATTTGATCAAAAACATATGTGTATACAGAATCCGCCCCATTGAAGGTTTCCCGTAATCACGAACGGACTAAGCCAGTTAGAAAATGAGCATTTGATTGCTTTACAAACACCGATTGCATCAATATGAATATTCAGATAACCTTAATGGTACACGTACGCAGCGATAAGATACCGGCTGCTATATAGAAGTTGTTCGTGTGATTACAGCTGAACCCGGTCAATAGTCGAGACATCAATGATTATTATTATTTCAGTTTGTGCCAGGGCTTCGATTTGTTGGGGTCGCGTATAACCGCCGGGATTTTCCACATTTTCCGCGGAATAGAATGAGCGGTTAGAGGGTTAAACTTTGTTCAAATGTCGCGCCTGACGAGAACATTTGAAAGAAACATATCGTTCGTTAGCAGATTGTCTTACAGAGCGGAAAACCCGAAAATGAGTGTCTACACTCAGCGGAAAGCGGTCTCGGAAGATGAAGAGGACAGTTCTAGTACGGGTAGTAATGACTCAATGGAGCGGTAAGTGTTTGTACACAGCGATCGTCAGTTGAGGGCACATATGGCTCAAAGTATCACGACGGTATCAATAAGTCCTAGAACGCTAAAAAAATATCAAAGTGATAGACGTTCGAGGCTATTCCTTGAAACTAATGGATTCTTTGGGTTTTTAGGCCGAACTGAGACTAACGGTTTGAGACTTGTTTATTTATTCGAGTTGATGACATCTATAACATCAAACAATACTTACACACTTCGAATTTTCTCAGTTTTTA